GCAGGTTGCTTCAGTAACTGTGCTTTGCTTATCTGTAGCAATACACTTATCTATCTTTACTGTGGTTCTGCGTGAGCATTATTTTGTTGTGTTTGCTGTTTTCAGGAACTGCTTTTTTAGGTTTTGTTATGAAATGCTCCCACTAAATATAACTTCTCTGGTATTCTTAGAATCACAATTTCAATGTTAATTCTTCTACAGCACAAGAAACTTTAACTGCCATATGGAGAACAGCTTCAGCTGTCTTTTGTCAGTGTCGATATTTTGGAATTGTGAAAAAAATTCCATGTCCTGTCCCACATGATATGACTCTTAAGAAAGCAGTGACTGTCCAATTTAAAAAACTGATCTGTGGTGCAAGAATTTACTGATTAATGGCACTGGAAATAAAATCATTCTATTTATTTATTTATTTATTTAAATCCTGTAAATTTGACTGTTAATAAAGCAGCAATACGAGTGCCTTTGCACTGTCCATACAGGAAGGAATTTTCAGAGGGATCATTCTGAGCTTTTCTCTCGGTAGCTTGTATATCTGGACTCCCACATATGTGATCAGAAATATCTGTAACCCAAATCTCTGCAGTATCTCTTGCAAGGATCTTGATTAATATCTTGGATATCTAGATGTATTTCTACAAGTGCAGAGATTTTCTGAAAATGTGTAACTGCCTTCCAACTTTCAACTTTATACTTTAAACTCACAAAGTACTTTACTAGTGGTAAAATCCCTTATCCCCTATACTACCTGCCTCTTTTCTCCTTCTTCCTCTGTGCTAAACCTGCCTCTCTTAGTGGAAGACTCTTGACAGATCATTGGAAAGGAAAGGAATGGCTCCTCTACAGACAAGCAGTAAAATACAGCTAATATTGCTCAGCAGAAGGTCCTTTCTGTGGCTGAAGTTCTGACTTGGGAGTCGTACTTCGCTAGCACCTTGAGGCGTGACAGTATCTGAGCACAGCAAATCCCCCTGTGGTGTGGTACTGCTTACATCATTTCACAAAGAACGAGTACAGCAGTGGTCTTTCCCAGAGGCTCCTTTGTTTGAAGTAATGAAAGCCTTTTTCCCTCTGAAAATTCAATAGCCAGAAGCCTCACAGTATGTGGAATAGCTTCTAGTGATATTATTTGAACACTGAAGGGAAACAAAGAAGGGGCATATATTGTGTTATTGTTTCCCAGACAAAAGATTGTATTTAAAAATATATATGCCTTTTGAATATGCTTTGTGGCAGATGTACAGCTTGAAGACTGGCATATGACAAGGAAAAATCAATAAAAAATGCATAATGAAATTATAAATATTTATAGAATAGCTAGGTAAGTATAATATGACAGGGAGAAGCCACGAAGGCTTTTAGAAGAGAAAATGTATGCTCTAAGCCATCCTAGAATTATTTTGAGTTAAAACGGGGTATAAAGGCATTACATAGGCTGACAGAGAAGTTCATGCCACCTTTGATTAAAATCCTTTCTAAGCAACCATGAGAAAAACTTAGTCAAAGAACGTGGCTAAAGAGAAGTTGGAAAGCAGAGAAGGGAAATAACAGTTTCCAGAAAGGAAGGGGTTGTTCACTGACTGTCCCCATGGGACACAAAGGAAATGTTGGTTGACTTGCAACAACGGAAAGTAAGGAAGTAGCTCGCTCTGTTTGTGTGGGATTAAAAAGCTCCAGCTTTTTCCAAAGACTGTGAGTTTTCCAAGTCTGCTAAAAAAAACATGGATGAGATGAACGTTTTTTTTTTCTTAACTGCGATTTTTGCATATAGCTGGCTGTTGATGTAGTTGTTAATGCACCTCTTAATACGTACATCTAGGAGTTATGCATGTCAGACTGCAAACAGTAAATAGGACAAGAAGTGGGTAAGAATGGAGATGAACAAATTTGCTTCCCTGAATACATGTAGAAATTTCCTACAGCCATCCTTCTGTCCTGCCCTGTAAAAATTTGTCATTACTGTCTGGCCAGTTCCACTGGTCAGACACTACGAGAGGACTTATATTGTGGGCTTGGCTGCATTCATCCTCTGTGTTGATGTAAACACCAAGAATACACTGGAGGTTTTGTATGGAGGAATTTATTCTTTTTCTGTTTGTGCTGCAGATGGCTGAATTCGCTCAGTCGGCAAAAACTGCAAGAAAAGTACATAATGAAAGAAATTTATACTAAAAATGGAAGAAAAAGAAAAGCCAGCAAAAGCTTCTTCAGTATGGATATCCATATCTGGGGACAAGATATTTTTGCTGCTAAAATCTTGCTTACAGAATTCTTTCCCATTAGTCCAAACAGAGCACAATTTTGCTAATGGTTGGGTCAGGGTGCTAATTATCTTTGTGAAAAATGGCTGGGCAGACAGTCCAGGAGATAGATGCTTCCTAATTTGTTAAGGGCTTTAAAGATAAATGGCCTTGAAGTAAATTTGTTTTCAAACGAATAGGCACTAGAGTGCTGAGAGCAGTGGCAAAGTGAGCTCTCATCAGGTTTTCTCAGAGTGATGGATGCTGCATATTCTGTCCACTGACGTGGTCTTTGCCATCAGAAGTCCCAACTTATTAATAGCTTCTAGGGCAATGGTTGTAAATTATTGCAGCCCAATTTTATTACTGTTTTACATCTACCAAGGACTGAGCCCTTTATGTAGCTTTATATTAACTTGGTGAGCACCATTAAAATATTGACATTTAGGTTCATTTTGGTAGCATTAGCCATAGCATTCTGTCATGCATTAATTGCAGAGGTTTGAAATGACTAGAATGTTTCTTTTGAAAAGCACAAGAAAAAATAGTTTACATTTCTTCCCCTCTGCAACCCATGACTTCGCTGAAAAAGAAACAAAAAATACTCCTAATTGTGTGCACTGGGGGCATCTACTTCTTTGCTTCTTGCAACCACTGAGCAAATAATAAGAAGCAGCCCTTACGGGCTTCATTGGGCTCTTGGAAGTGTCGCCTCTGAAAATCAACCTCTGAAGTCTCAGTGTGGACACCTACATCTAGGACTCCTACTTCAAAAACATATCTTAATGTATAGCAAGAGTCCTCCTAATGAGCAACAAAAGCTAAAATCTTATGCATTTCCATATGCTGATATGGCTTAAGGGTTTAAAACAGACACAGAAATGCCTTCTGTGATTCACAGCAGGAACATGTTTATAGCATCCATGTCTATTTGTATTATCATATCACTGTAAGAACCTGCAATGTTCGCTGGCTCTTTTCAGTGGAGGGCACCACTAGATGATTATGTTTAATATAAGGAGTTGGCAGCCTTTCTCACTTAACCATCATTAGGAGATCTGCTGCTGAGGTCCCATTTTGTGAGGCAGCTGGAAATTGGCACTTAGTTTGAATGTATTGTTTTCTACCTTTCTCTTCAAGGGCAAGGCAAAACTGTTCAGGCTAAGCAAAGTAGAAGGTTTTCTTACTTTCCTTTGTTTACTTGGTCCTCTGACCCCTCCAATCTTTTCAAAGTAAATTAATTCCTCTATATGTACATGAATTAAATAGAAATGTGAACCATGTCATCAAAGATGCAAGTGTATGGCCTGAGGGAAGGCATTTAAAAGGACCACACAGAAGGTATCTATGGTAAACTTGCAGACTTTTTACAGGAGTAAAAATTAGCTAGGTCTTCAGCACCATATCTCTACATTACTGGGGAAAAATACTATCACTTCTGTTTTACAGATAAGGGAATGGGGACATACAAGATATGTGCATATACGGATGAGGAACGGAGGTCAGTGGAAAAGACCAAAATGATTGAAAGACGAGATACAGAATAGGGGTGCTCTGTTCTCCTAATCCACTATTCAGGCTGCCATTCATTATTTTAAACGTTGTCCTCTGTCCACTCTGACCCCAAAACATTCACGCACCTTCAGGAGTTTCAATACCTGCATTTTCCCTGGTAATGTCGTATGGCTTCAACCACAGCTTCACCTGTAGCCTTTCTGCCTCCTGCTGTACTGGATCCACTCAAAAGCCTGAAAGGCTTTCTCTAGTTATAGAGGCTTTCTTCTTTCAATTACAGTAGTTTCATATGACCAAATAATACTTTATTAACCTGATTGCCTAAGGATATCAAGCTCCAGGGGAAACAGATATTCCTATACGATAGGCAAGATAATTAAGAAGTGAAGTAATGCAAATCCCAGCACAAGCAACTGTAATAAGACAGTGGATGTATTTACTCTTTGAAGCCAAATTATGTAGTGTCTTAAATCCTTTTATTCTAAGGCTCCTGTATTTGTAGATTTATTTTCATCCCTCACAGTGGACATATTGCTAGGACAGGGTGCTTTAGGAGCCCATTCGGACCAGTGGAGCAGTTCAGGTTGCTGGGAAATCCAGTGAGATCCAGTAAAATCCAGTGAGTCTGTGGTATCTCCTTGATAACACAGGCTAAAGAACACATTTGCTTTGACTAACTTTGATTTTGAGCTCCTTGGATATGACTTTTTGTTCCACATTTTTAAAGCAACTGCCGCAGTGGCTGTACTATGACTGAAGCTTTGAGAGATCGGATAATGCAGGGACAGAAACCATTGATGTCAGTAAGAGTTCTGCATCCCCTGGGATAGTGGACTGTTGAACCTAGATTAGAGACAAGTTCATTCTGAGATAGCCACGGCCTCCCCTGTTAACAGAGGCCATGGCAAAGCTAATATCAGTAAATGCTGCATTCAGCTGGCACCAACAAGCAAGAGATTAAATGAGAGAGCTATATAGATGAGGGGTCCTGTTGAGGTTGGCCTTCAGTGGATAACAGTCTCTTATAAATGAAAAGTTTTTTAGCAAAGCCCTACCAAGTAAAAGGTGTCTAATTAAGTTCTGGCTGCTTCTGTATCTGAAAACGATGAAACCTGAGAAGCAAGGAAATGAGTGGAGTTGCTCTGAGGTAGCTGGACTAAAATTAAATGTGGCAAAAGAAAAAAAAAAAAAAGCGGAAAAAAAAATCAATATTCTTGCTAATAAGAGTCAACATTTATCTTACAGGAAACCTGAAGTTTTGCCTTCTGATTCTGAACCAGCCTTTCAACAAAGGTCATTTTCATTGTCTGTGGAGCAAAGGTAATAATAACTTACATATATCTTCATTTGCTTATTTACTTGGCTGCTACCTGGCTAATGAACTTCAAGTCTGTTGAATTGCTATGTGGCAATTTCCTCTAACTAGAGCAACCTTTTGGTGAGGGTGCGAATCAGCAGAACACGTCCCTTGTTGCAGAATGCAGCAAGTGAACTGATTATGCAAATTCTGCTTCTCTGCATTGCTTACGTCAGTGGGAACTTTATGAACTGATCTGTGAAAGATTCTTTAGCTTTTCAGAAGCATCTTAAGAGTGATCATTGTTTTGCTGACAAAGTGTAGTAGATCAATGGTGCATTTAAAAGTCTGGGAGCAAGCATTCCTTTAAAGGTCATCAGTGAAATGTGTTAATTTTAATCAAAATAAAATGAACCGTGTAGGTATTATGTTGTGAAAGTGGTGGGAATTTGTGTGTATGTCAGAAATATGCAAATCAAAGTTCACTACCCTTTTGTTTAATATGCACAGTGCTAATCAGCTCTGGTACGATAGCTGCAAATTTACTGACATTTTTTGGAGATGTATAAATCTTTAAAAGCTTGGAGCTATTAATTCCTCCAGTGCAGAAATATAGTCCTTCAGAAGCTTTGTGACAAACCATGGGAAACGTCTCTAACTTGTTACCGGGCTGGGAACCTTGCAGAGAGATTCCTTGTAACTAACTGGGGCAGATAGCACTATTTCATTTCACCATAGGCATGGGGTCCAGTAGGGGGTAGCTGCACAGTTTAAAAGGAATTGGAGTAATAGACAAAGTAGGGAGAATGTATTCATTTCACCTGATTCCAGCTAACCTAAAGTAGTTGCCTGTTTAGACATAAGAGATAAAAAAGAATGGAAACTTGCACGGGATGATTCAAAGCATCTGAATGAGTGTTGTATCTCAAATGGGCTCTGTTTAGCTTGCAGCGTAAGACAGAAGTGCTCAGTGGAAGGGCTGTCAGCTCTATTTGCTATATTTTCTAGATGTGATTTCAAGTATTTTTTCATTTAAAGAGATACACTGAAAGTATATATTCTGCATTAAATATTGAAAAGAAGAAGGGTATTCGTCTTCCTATTTCACCCCAGCTTTCCTCTGTTCTGAGGGCTGAGGTTGGAAAACAGCAAACGAGACCAGTTACAGAACAGCAGCATGAAGTGTACTGTAGTATAATAGGTATGTTGCTTTTATGCTCTGTTATGTTAAACCAGACTTTTTTGTCTGTCCCTTGGAATTTTAAGTCTTCCTCTTGCAATCAAATCTCTGCAGAGTAACTCTTGGGGCATGGAGTGCTTCTTACTGTAACACTAATGGGCCCTTAGCTGTAGTGCTTCAGTGAAGGACTGGGATGAGAAGCCGAATAAAATTGAGTAGACTACAGAATGTCTTGCTTGAGACTACCACAATGGGTTTCTGTCCTCTGAGCATAACTGCAGTGAAAGTAATTACTGGTGCTGCAGATAGTTTTTTCAAAGTGCCTGTGAAAGTTAGGAGCAGAAGTCCTATTTAAGCTGATAGGACTTGTGCTGGTAGGTTACCTCCAGAAATAGGTGGATATTTTCTGTCTAAGCAAAACAAGAGAGGAAGATGGCGTTTTTTTCAAAACATCTCAGCTTCAGTAAACCTTAGCTGTGAATCCAGGACAAGATTCTGGTAACAGCTTGATTGACAGTCCTCATAGGCTGCTGTAGGCATCAGCAATCTTGTGCCTCCTGGACCCTGGCCCTGAAGGAGTCTCTGCAGAGAGTCTGTTTCATGACTAGGAGACCCTGGGGTTTTGGTACGTGAACTGAAAGAATTTTGGAAAGAATGAAACATCCTCAGAAACAGTGCCTGATCACCAGCTGTACTTCCTTGATATGTCATAAAAATTCTAGTGTATGTGAGTAATGAGAAGGAAACAGTAGGGCTGTTGATCCACGAAATATTGCCAGCTACACAGGTCATGAAAAAAGGGAGAGAAAAGTGTAAGAAAAAAAAATATTGACCAACTTCTTAAAGTTACTGCGATCTTGGGTGTTACACTGAGTACAGAATGCTGAGACAGAAGTGTTATTTTTAAGTAGCTTGTGCCCTCCTATCAAAATAACTTGTCTCATTAGACCTGTCACTTTAGCATCAAGTAAAAATGAAGGTGTGATGTGATATGTCCTGGGTTTAAAATAAAAAAAATAAAAAAATCCACATTGATAAGTGTGGCTATTCTAGGCTAAAATCATCCCAGGTGTAACTTCTCTTGACCTCAAGAAAAAGTGGTTGCAGCTAATTAGCCTTCGGTTTATTACAGACTTGTATAAAATCTATTTTTACTGACATACTTTGAAAAGAACTATTTTGATCAGTGCAAGTTTGTGTGAACTATGTTCCATGTGCTTTGGGAAGGACATTGAAATCTGAATTCCTTGCTTACAGAGGACATTTAGCAGCTTTTACAACTCTTACAATACAAGCATGCAAAGAGACAATGGTGAGGTAGCATAAGCTAAAGATTGCCATGATTTTCTTTTATTATATTTATTAATGTCGTTAACCAGGCTAGATGTTTCCTTTGTGTTAGGTACAGTCAGTAATACCTAGATTTAAATAGTGCTGTCTTAAAGGATGAAATGTTGGAGAAGGATGTTATTAAAAATCAGAATATGGAGTAAAATGACAGAAAATGCCGGTGGTTTGATGAAATGTTGGGTGTACTAGGGAGGGACAAAACAAGTTGAAAAAGAAGTTGAAGAGAATAGGTGGCTAAAGGGGTGCAGGTGAAGGAAAACAGACTCATGATAAGTGAAGTTGATATGAAGACGCTGAATATGGGAAGGTGAGGTGGATACATAGAATTGAGAATAGACTATGAGTAAGCACAAGGCTGGGAACATCACTCAAATCCATCAACAGTTCTCTGAATATAGCTGTTACTGTAGCTATTTTTACCAGTGGAAGTGTTACAGCTTTCTTCAGAGTCCTTATCCTAATTGTGGAAAATATGTGGAAGAGTCTGGGCACTGCTTTCCTCAGAGCTGCACATTTTTTGTGTCTAGGAGGTTACTATAAGGAATACCTGGTTCAGTGGGTCCTTACCGTAATCTTATCACGTATCATACATTTCTGTTTGTATTTCAGTGATGTTTTTAACTCCTGGTTTGATTCAGGTTTGATTCCTGTTTCTCCCCAGAAATGGCCACGGAAAAAAAATGAGCATACATTAGTCTGTATTACTACTTTGTAGATGTTTACAAACGTAAATATGTCTTTAACAGAAATTACTGTGAGTCGAATGTCTGAAACTATCTCTGTAATAAGCTAGAAAAATAAGGAAGCCAATGTTTTTGTGGCCAAAAAAAAAAAAAAAAAGCTTTATGAAGAGTAAATGAAAATTCCTGTGATTTTTGAATCTGCTCTTTAAAATCTTTAATAAAATTCCAATTATATACTTATTATTTATTGGTAGTTCAATGAAGGTGAAAGTGCCAGATTCTGCACTTCGGAAGGGGCAACCCTGGCTGTACATACAGACTCAAGGATGAGAGGCTGGAGAGCAGCCTGGCAGAAAGGGTTATGGGGATTCTGGTGGATAGCAAGTTGAATATGAGTTAACAGCATGCCCTGGCAGCCAGAAGGGCCAAACATTTCCTGGGGTCAATCAGCACAGTGTTGCTTACTGGTCGAGGGAAGGGACGGTTGCTCTCTGCTGTGCGCTGGTGCAGCCTCACCTCGAGTACCGTATTAAGTTCTGGGTGCCACAGTATAAAAATGACATAAAACTATTAGAGAGTGCCCAGAGGAGATGGGCACTTCTCTATGAAGATGGTGAGGAGCCTAGAGTACAAGACGTATGAGGAGCAACTGAGGTCCCTTGGTTTGTTCAGCCCCGAGCAGAGCCAGGCTGAGGGGAGGCCTCATGGCGGCCTGCAGCTCCCCCACGAGGGGAGCGGAGGGGCAGGCGCTGAGCTCTGCTCTCTGGGGACAGCAACAGGACCCGAGGGGACAGCATGGAGCTGGGACAGGGGAGGGTCAGGCTGGGGGCTAGGGAAAGGCTCTGTACCCAGAGAGTGGTCGGGCACTGGGACAGGCTACTTGGGGCATAATGGTCACAGCACCAAGCCTGCTGGAGTTCAAGAAGCATTTGGACAATGCTTTCAAACACACAGTCTGATTTTTTGGGTGGTCCTTTGGGGACCCAGGAGTTGGATTTGATAATCCTTGTGGGTCCTTTCCAACTCAGGATATTGTGTGATTTATACCAAGAATTTCAGCAATGTCTAGTGATTGCAAGTGCTTCTGTTTTGTCTCCATAGTAAAGTGTTAGGAAAGGGGCAAAATTATTGCAATGCTAAGAAATCACCTGGGTAAAACTGTCTCATGATCAGGATCTGAAAATTGTTTCTTGTTTCTGAAAACATTTCTTTTAAAAGCTATAGTACTCAAATGATCCATAATTGTCTGCATGTCCTCGCTTGATGGTAGCATGCTAAGTGGCTGTACATTGTAGAGTACTTTTTGTTCTTGAAATATTGATAGACAGCTATAAAGAACAAGAAGTTATGCTCTGAAAAATAAAATTATTTTAAGAATTGGAGTAATATGACAATGTTCTACAGCAATCTGATGAAGTTCCCATTCATGCTGTATTTCTGGAAATGTCAAGGTGCTGTTAAATAACATCTTCAGATATACTACTGGATAAAGACATATTACAATAGATTTTTTCCATAGGTTCCATTTAGGCTCTAGCAGAGTGTTCTTGTATCCAAGTGCTTACCGATAAATACAGCTGCAGAATTAAAATACTGTCTAATCCAGTCCTGCTTAGTTGAAGAGGAAGGCTATTACGCTTATACTTTATGGTAAGGAAACATGTCCATGGGCATTTTTCAATCTCGGAAATGGTTGTGACACATTAGTTACTGTACCTTTGTCAAAAGTATTCTGCAAATAAAGTTGTCCAGGAAAACTTTAAATCAAACAGAATATCAAGCATTCATATTACAAAATGACCCTGACTGA